GGGGGGTGGGAGATAGAAGCCAGTGCAGGGATCGGCAGAGGGGGGTTGCAGACACTGAGCGGTTGGTTAGGTGAATGAGTGTAGCAGCTGCATTCATGATAGACTGAAGGGGGGAGGAGCCTGTGTAGAGGTCGGCCAATGAGGAGGGAGTTGCAATAGTCAAGACTCTGCGCTCCCCGAATCCTCCGTCCAGAGCAGCCCTATCCCTACCAGAAGGCATTAGCACCAGAGGGGTCCCTGCCTACAACTGGGGACAAGCCCGGCATAACCAAGCCAGAGTCAACCTAGGAAGAAAGGAACCCCTCCGCCACCCACTTATTACCCCAGTGGTTACTAAGCAACCATCAGCACCGGCAAATGGTGCTGTTCCTCTCCGAAAACTGATAAGGTACTACACTTGACCTTAGCCAAACTCTGGTCCTCCAGCTGTAGTCCATCTACAAGTCCCATTAGGCACGGCAAGGCATCCACAGACATGACTCCCAGAGGAAAACGCATGATGGAATTTCTATTTGCTCCACAGCTGAAGGGCTGGAGCTTGCCTTGCTTTTCTGTTACCACCCTGTGTGCAATAAGTCACAAGAAGTTGGCAGTGGGCAAAGCTGGGCATTGGTGCAAGAGGCAGGGCAAAGTGGAGACAGGCAGGGAAAGTTTCTTGCTTCTATGTGCAATGTGTCACATGGTGTTGGCAGTGGGCTGAGTTGGGCAGCAGCATGAACGGTAGGGCTGGGAAAAGAGTCAGTGTCCATTGAGCAATGAGTCACATGATGTCGGCAGTGGGCAGAGTTGGGCAGCGGCATGAGGGGTGGAACTGAGCAAAGGGCCAGTTCCCACTGGGCAAAGAGTCATATGGTTTAGGCTGTGGGTGCAGATGGGCAGTGGCACAAGGGGCTGGGCAGCAAGTCAGTGACCACTGTGCAATAGGTCATATGGTGTTGACAATGGGCAGAGCTGAGCAGCAGCATAAGGGGCAGGGCTGGACAGAGAGTTAACGCCCACTGTGGAATGTGTCACATGGTGTCGGCAGTGGGCAGTGGAACAAAGGGCAGGGCTAAGTAGGGGGTCAGTACCCACTGTGCATTGAGTCACATAGTGTCCTCAGTGGGCACGGCCCCTCATGTATGCGATTGGTTGTGTTTAAATTCCAGCTCATTGATAAAGAAATCCATTCATAAAAAAGATGGAGGGTGAATTGCCCTTTACCCCGGATGTGTGGATACTTTCTATGCTCATCCGTGTTCCTTCTTCTACGTTTGTTGTTTTACAGATACGCTAATGATTCCCTCAAACCTGGACAGCGGTACATGTCCCCTGGGTCAGTTCCCATGCGGCAACCTGTCGTTGTGTTTGCCTCAGCTGCTCCACTGCAACGGACACAAGGATTGCCCCAATGGCGCCGATGAGGACAATTGTGGTGAGTGCTGAAATGTTTAATAAGACTGTCTGGGTTTTACGGTTGCATGGCAGATAGGGTTGTCACCTTTTCTTCAAGTGAAACCTGAACACTCGAGCGCTGCATGCAGCCATTTTTTTTTTTAGAATATAGCGGAGAGAGCGAGGAGAGGAAGCCAGGAGAAACAGCAAGAAGAGGCCGCCAGGGGAGGGAGTAAGGAGACGATTTATAGAAGGCTACAAATCTCAGCAATACATGATGCAGCAATACAAAATAATATGAAGCTACATACCTTGTGTTGTTTTGGGTGGTGCCCTGATGTCTCCAGGTTCTCAGGTGGCCCATGCGAGCTCTCAGGTGGCCTGTGCGGGCTCTCAGGTGGGCCATGCGCACTCTCGGGTGGGCTATGCGTGCTCTCAGGTGGGCCATGCGCACTTTCGGGTGGGCCATGCGCACTCTCAGGTGAGTTATGCGGGCTCTCAGGGGGGCCATGCGCACTCTCAGGTGAGTTATGCGGGCTCTCAGGGGGGCCATGCGCACTCTCGGGTGAGTTATGCGTGCTCTCAGGGGGGCCATGCGCACTCTCGGGTGAGTTATGCGTGCTCTCGGGTGGGCTATGCATGCTCTCAAGTGGGCCATGCACACTCTCAGGTGAGTTATGTGGGCTCTCAGGTGGGCCATGCAGACTCTCAGGTGAGTTATGTGGGCTCTCAGGGAGGCCATGCGCACTCTCGGGTGGGCTATGCGTGCTCTCAGGTGGGCCATGCGCACTCTCGGGTGAGTTATGTGGGCTCTCAGGTGGGCCATGCGCACTCTCAGGTGAGTTATGTGGGCCCTCAGGTGGGCTCTGTCCTTGTTCAGACACTTCCTGTTATAGGGTGACAATGCTCTGTCCTTGTTCAGGCACTTCCTGTTATAGGGTGACAATGCTCTGTCCTTGTTCAGACACTTCCTGTTATAGGGTGACAATGCTCTGTCCTTCTTCAGACACTTCCTGTTATAGGGTGACAATGTTCTGTCCTTGTTCAGACACTTCCTGTTATAGGATGACAGTGCTCTGTCCTTGTTCCGGCACTTCCTGTTATAGGGTGACAATGATCTGTCCTTGTTCAGTCACTTCCTGTTATAGGGTGACAGTGCTCAGTCCTTGCTCAGACACTTCCTGTTATAGTGTGACAACCTTCTGTCCTTGTTCAGACACTTCCTGTTATAGTGTGACAACCTTCTGTCCTTGTTCAGACACTTCCTGTTATAGGGTGACAACGTTCTGTCCTTGTTCAGACACTAACTGTTATAGGGTGACAACTAGGGTTGCCACCTGTCCAGAATTCACCCGGACAGTACAGGATTTTAATGCTGCGTCCGGGTTTCATGGCAGCAGAAACCTGGACACAAGATGTCAGGCAGACGGGCAACCAAAATTAAGATTGGGGCTACTGGCCCCCCCATTACTGAAAATAGTCCTAACTGTGATATTTACATATAAATAAGCCACGACTCATTCTCCCCCAAAAATGTTCGCACATCGCTAGAGTGTTTGGGTTTCACTTGAAGAAAAGGTGACACTCCTAGTGACAACACTCTGTCCTTGTTCAGACACTTCCTGTTATAGGTGACAACGCTCTGTCCTTGTTCAGACACTTCCTGTTGTAGGGTGACAATGCTCTGTCCTTGTTCAGACACTTCCTGTTATAAGATGACAACACTCTGTCCTTGTTCAGACACTTCCTGTTATAAGGTGACAACACTCTGTCCTTGTTCAGACACTTCCTGTTATAAGGTGACAACACTCTGTCCTTGTTCAGACACTCCCTGTTATAGAGCGACAACCCTGGGTCCCTGTCTCCCGGTTATGCTGCTGTGTTGTCACCTGGGGTTCTGATGGAGACTACTAATGGTGGTTTCATCACACATTACACAGACATGATCCACTGTTGTCACCATCAGGAAACCCGCCCTGAGAAATGCCATGGCAGCCATCGCTGCAGCCCATGCAGACTGGAAATGGCTGCAAAGAGGCTGCAGGAGATCAGCAGCACTGAGCTGTAGCAAAGAAGGGAAAATTGTGAAACATTCGTATTTTGCAATTATTTTTGGTGCGCAGAGCGAACTCAGCGCCGCCCGGATTCTTCAGGTTTTACATTTACTGCAAAATACGAAAATGGGCAAAATATGAATCACCTGCTGAGAAAAGAATCTGATGACTGGGAGAGAAATATGGAACAGCAATGACCTCAGATAAGCAGATCTGTAGAATCCAAGGTGGAGGCAGACAGAGCGGAGGCATGGAGGCGGAGGGATGATGTCACAACACCAGCAACAGCTCTGCTCATATCACCAGGAAGAATGCTCTGCAGATCTCCCCGCTTATCTCCCGCACCGAAAGCAGCATTTCCAGCATCGCTGGTCATCTCCATTCTCTGCAATGTGGAGAGCTTCTCTCTGAGTCTACATGCACTCCAGTGATGGGTGCATGGCATTGCACCCATTGCATGGTGACAACAGTAAACCGTGTCTGTGTAATGTGTGCTGACACACCCATTTGATGTCTCTATTGAAAGCTGTGTGACAGGGTGACAACACAGTGGTGCAATTGGTTGTCACGAAGAGAGCAATGTCACCCTATAACAGGAAGTGCCAGAACAAGGACACAGCGTTGTCACCCTATAACATGAAGTCCCAGAACAAGGACACAGCGTTGTCACCCTATAACAGGAAGTGCCTGAACAAGGACAGAGCGTTGTCACCCTATAACTGGAAGTGCCAGAAGAAGGACAGAGTGTTGTCACCCTATAACAGGAAGTGCCAGAACAAAGACAGAGCGTTGTCACCCCATGACAGGAAGTGCCAGAAACAAGGACAGAGCGTTGTCACCCTATAACATGAAGTGCCTGAACAAGGACAGAGCGTTGTCACCCTATAATAGGAAGTGCCTGAACAAGGACAGAGCATTGTCACCCTATAACAGGAAGTGCCTGAACAAGGACAGAGCGTTGTCACCCTATAACAGGAAGTGCCTGAACAAGGACAGAGCATTGTTACCTAATAACAGGAAGTGCCAGAACAAGGACAGAGCGTTGTCACCTTTTAACAGGAAGTGCCTGAACAAGGACACAGCATTGTCACCCTATAACAGGAAGTGCCAGAACAAGGGCAGAGCGTTGTCACCCTATAACAGGAAGTGCCTGAACAAGGACAGAGCATTGTCACCCTATAACAGGAAGTGCCTGAACAAGGACAGAGCGTTGTCACCCTATAGCAGGAAGTGTCTGAACAAGGACAGAGCGTTGTCACCCTACAGCAGGAAGTGTCTGAACAAGGACCTTCCTGGCGGGATCACCGGGGATTATTGTAATGAAAGCTGCAGATTTATAAAGATTGGAAATAGTTTTGTAAAGTTGAGATTTTGGGGGCGGGATTACTTCTGTTTCATGAATTGCGGTTGCTGTGTGATTGTAATAACGACGCATTCTCCTTTCCAGTGGATAACAGCGGCTGGCCCAAGCTGTTTGATACCATTCAGAGTGCGCGGGGGAACCAGGCAACGCAAGAGGACGAGACACAGGACTATGAATGCGGTGAGTCAGTAGTGCAACCTAGCATGAAACGGGTGCAGGGTGTCACATGACACTGCTTGCACTAAACAGGGACAGCGGGAAGCACACAGCTTGTGAATGAACTCAGTGTCACCAGTGGAAGTGTCCGTATACAAGGTGTAAGCCTTGCTAAGCTCCTCCCCCGCGGAGCAGAGTCTTGCTAGATGTCTGTGCGCAGAGCTTTGTGTCATCAATATGTCAGATTTGAGGGTTTCAGGTTTAGCCCCGCCCACAATAGCATTATTGTCTGTACATGTGGGTTGGATTATTCACAAGCTTTTTATTGATTGTGTTTCAGTTTTGGACGTTTACCCGGAAGAATGCGAGTGCCGGAAGCGCTTAGTGAACTGCTCCAGCCAAGGACTTCACTTTGTCCCGGCCGTCTCTTCCAATGTCACAGCTTTGTAAGCGCACGGACCTTTAAAGTATTGAATAACCTTTGACCTGCTTAGAGGTCTTCCCATAGACCCGTACCTGGGCACTGACCGAGCACAGAGGGTGGGCACTAACCGAGCACAGAGGGTGGGCACTGAATGACCATAGAGTGTGGGCACTGAATGACCGCAGAGGGTGGGCACTGAAAGACCGCAGAGAGTGGGCACTGAACCGCTAGAGATGGTGGGCACAAAGAAACAGAGACCTTCTATCTGGACTCCCAGTTCCCGTGTGATGGTCCATTCTCAGCCTCCACATTTACAATCCTAAAATAGAGGAAGTGCGCCTATAATCCAATGAGAAGACTTGGGTTGGAATGTCGGGTGGCAGGTTCTCTTTATCGTTACCCACAAAGGTCTGTTATCTCCAATTATGTACGGAACTCCCAAGGACTCTGACAAAGCCGAGGTGACGAGTCAAACAAGACGAGGCCGAGGTTTATCGATCTCATGCCTCCCGACTCTGATCTACAATGTATTGCGTAGGTCAGCGCCATTGCTGTAGAACATCTCGCCTATTCGTCGCCAATTCCGTGTGTTCTTCTAGAAGACGAATGTTCAGCGTCTTCCGTCTTCTTGTTACATTTGCTGATTTATGAAGGTTTTATGTGTTTGTGTTTATTTTTAGTGATCTGAAGGATAACGGAATAAAGTCGTTGCCTGACGGCGTCTTCCATCGCTATCACCATCTGGAAAAACTGTAAGTGGATAGAAGAGACTTTGGTTAGCCCATTTCCCCCTCGACCCGCCTCCAGACCCCTTCCCCTTGGGCCCCCCTGCCACTCCATGGCTTCATCAGAGCTCATGGGAAACAGCAGCTTCCTCTGGGAGCATGTGACCTCCTTCCGTGGTGCATTGCTCAGACATGTTAGTAGGGCGCTGGATCAGGAACTTGCACGGGGTAATGCTTGAATTTCAAAATGAAGAAGTAGGTCTCTGTCAACTTAGGGTATCCTAGGGCCACGGGGACCCCAGCATGGTCTTGGAAATTTAGAAAGGATGAGAACGCGACAGAACAAGTGTGAGTCCAGTTGGTTTTATTGACCCCCCGCTGTTCTGTTCCTCTGTTGGAGATGGGGGTCGAACCTTGTTTAGGCTCCATCACCATCTGACATGGATGAGGTCACCGCCTCCCTCTAGTGACAGTGTCCGAGCATGCTCATTGGCTGTTCAGGCCTGAGCACCGCACCATGGGGAATGTAGAAAGGATGAGCATGCCACAGAACTAGTGTGAGTCCAGTGGGTTTTTATTGATATAACCAAAGAAGGAGATAACACATTTCGGGGGTTCAGAACATCTGACATGGATGAGGTCACCCCTTCCCTCATGTGACAGTGTACGAGCATACCCATTTGCCGTTCAGGCCCAAGCACTACACTACCATCCTACCCCCCAACTTACTTATACCCTCCTCCGCTGTTCTGTTCCTCTGTTGGAGATGGGAGTGTAACCCTGTTTAAGCTCCATCACCATCTGATATGGATGAGGTCACCCCTTCCCTCATGTGACAGTGCCCAAGCATGCCCATTGGCCATTCCCATCTGATATGGATGAGGTCACCCCTTCCCTCATGTGACAGTGCCCAAGCATGCCCATTGGCCATTCCCATCTGATATGGATGAGGTCACCCCTTCCCTCATGTGACAGTGCCCAAGCATGCCCATTGGCCATTCCCATCTGATATGGATGAGGGCACCCTTTCCCTCATGTGGCAGTGTCCAAGCATGCCCATTGGCCATTCCCATCTCATATGGAGGAGGTCACCCCTTCCCTCATGTGGCAGTGTCCAAGCATGAGCATTCCCATCTGATATGGATGAGGTCACCCCTTCCCTCACGTGACAGTGTCCGAGCCTGCCCATTGGACGTTCAGGCTTGAGCACTACATTACCATCCTACACCCAACTTACTTATACCCTCCTCCGCTGTTCTGTTCCTCGGTTGGAGATGGGAGTAGGACCCTGTTTAAGCTCCAACACCATCTGACATCAATGAGGTCACCCCATCCCGGCACGTAATAGTGTCCGTGCCTGCCCATTGATCATTCAAGCCTGGCAACTGCACCATGGGAAATGTAGAAAGGATGAGCATACCACAGAACTAGTGTGAGTCCAGTAGGTCTTTATTGCACATGACATGAGAAAACCAACCAACACGTTTCAGGGGCTCAGAACTCCTTTCATAAGGGACTAATATGCTGCCAGTTACTTAACAATAAAAAGGGATAAAGACTTTGCAAGTGAAGCATAGGGATGGTAGTTGTTACAGGTGGCCAGGCAAGCAGCCCAGTGTGCGACCTGTAACAGCCACGATCCCTATGCTGGTGGGGGTGATGTCACTGGGCCGGTTTGCTGGGCCATGGGAAAGCTGAGAGTCTCAGATCCCATGAGAACTCCCTCCCGTACAATGCTGGAACATCTTCTTCAAGATTTGGAATCTGGAGCTTCCCAAGGGTACCATGGTGAGGAACATTGACATCAGTGGTGTCTACAGGATGGCAGCCTACAGGAGAGAAGTTTCAGCTGCTTCTTGCTTTCACTTAGCAAGGACCCGGAACTGGAGCTCAGACATTTTGTGAAAGTATTTTAAAGATAAATTATTAATTGTAATTTGTTTTTGTTTTTCCAGCTTTCTACAAAATAACGAACTGCAAACCATCTCCCGCCAGGCGTTTTCAGGACTCTTCAGGCTAAAAATGCTGTGAGTATTAATTAAATGATATATCCACACAATGCCCAAATTTACCCATTTTACCCATAAACCTCTATTCTCCTCAGAATAGCTTTAACAACGCTCTGTCCTTGTTCAGGCACTTCCTGTTATAGGGTGACAATGCTCTGTGCTTGTTGAGGCACTTCCTGTTATAGGGTGACAATGCTCTGTCCTTGTTCAGGCACTTCCTGTTATAGGGTGACAATGCTCTGTCCTTGTTCAGACACTTCCTGTTATAGGATGACAATGCTCAGTCCTTGCTCAGGCACTTCCTGTTATAGGGTGACAATGCTCTGTCCTTGTTCAGGCACTTCCTGTTATAGGGTGACAATGCTCTGTCCTTGATCAGACACTTCCTGTTATAGGGTGACAATGCTCTGTCCTTGTTTAGATACTTCCTGTTATAAGGTAACAATGATCTGTCCTTGTTCAGGCACTTCCTGTTATAGGGTGACAACGCTCTGTCCTTGTTCAGGCACTTCCTGCTATAGGGTGACAACACTCTGTCCTTGTTCAGGCACTTCCTGTGATAGGGTGACAATGCTCTGTCCTGGTTCAGGCACTTCCTGCTATAGGGTGACAACGCTCTGTCCTTTTTTTATATCATACACAGCGTCTTTCAGTTTTACATCTACATTAAAGAGGTCACCAGATAGTTGGTCCAACACCTTGTATACTCATCGAACCCAAACGTTTAATAGTATAAATATATTAAAATATTTTCTTGAAGATCATTTAAATTAATCTGCTGGAGAAAAAAAATTCCGCAATTACATTTTGAGAAATGGTGGATTTCTGTGTTCCGTGTCGAAAACCATTCCGCCTCTAAATACGAATAAACAATTTTCCGACTTTCTACAGAGGATACAAAGTGCTTATCTGCACATAGATCAGAGGAGTTCCCAGACTCTCACCCATGTCTGATGTGGGAATGTGGGAATGGAGATCCATATCACAATTTATGGGATCGTAGAGTCAAGGAGATGATTTTCCCGCAAGGAATGTATTCATTGATCTCCCATCATTCCTAGAATGGACCTTGTGTTGGACAATAAATAAAAATAGAACAAACAACCGCCTGAAACAAACATTCTTCCCAATTGGATATATTTGTCATTTCCATTTTTAAAGTGAATCTGTACTATTCTTTAGCCCCCTCCCACCACCACCACCCCACCCCACCCCAATTCCCAGCCGCATATACTTAACTTTCCTTTGCTACTATAAATGGTACTTCGAGGTCCGGAGGAGCATAGAACTCAGGTGACAGCGCTAGATTAATCAGCATTGTACTATAAATGGTACTTCGAGGTCCGGAGGAGCATAGAACTCAGGTGACAGCGCTAGATTAATCAGCATTGTACTATAAATGGTACTTCGAGGTCCGGAGGAGCATAGAACTCAGGTGACAGCGCTAGATTAATCAGCATTGTCACACGGCAGTTCATAGTCATGGTAAAGCTACTAAAAGAGTCATCCAACAACATAGACTGGTGGTGGACACCTGACCATCACAACGATAGGCCAAAAGTAGGAGGACACCCCTGCCAGTGATGTCTCCAGTGAAGGTTACTGTTAATGCTTTAGATACAAAGACATTGTAGATAATTGTGCTCTTCCAACTTTGTGGTAACAGTTTGGTGAAGACCCTTTTCTGTCCCCCCATGACTTTCCCCTGTGTACAAAGTCAGCTCCATGAAGACATGGTTTGACCAGTTTGGTGAAGATCCTTATCTGTTCTACCATAACTGCCCCCTGTGTACAAAGCCAACTCCATAAGGACATGGTTTGACCAGTTTGGTGTAGAGGAACTCAAGGTCAGGGCTCTGTGGAGGTTGTTATAGTGGTAAGGGAGATTCAACTAAATTGTAATGCCCAACCTCGGTAAAAACATGGTTTGACCAGTTTGGTGTGGAGGAACTCAAGTGTCCAGCACAGAGCCCTGACCTCAACCCTACTGAACACCTTTGGGATGAATTGGAAGGCTGATTGTGAGCCAGATCTTCTCATCCAACATCAGTACCTGACCACAAATGGGCACAAATTTCCACAAACACCTTCCACAATCTTGTGGAAAGTCTTCTCCGAAGAGTGAAGGCAAAGCCACAGACTTTTGCCCATACTGTGTCTGCTCACAGTAACTAAGCAAACCATCCCAATATCATGGAAAGCTGTTCTTACAATAACAAACAAGAAAATTGATGCAAAACTAACAGACACTATGACCAAAGTTTAAAAAAGATGAGAACCTTGGGAGAATATGAGAATATTAGTTACCCCTTAACCTAGATGCTTGCACTCCGACTCCATGATGGAACTGATGTGGTTGATGGCCTCTGTAGAAAACCAGTATACCTCCAGTCATGAATCCCCCTTTGTTCCTCAACCTCCCATTCCTGTCTTAACTTTGTGACGAAACACAAGTTAGAACACTATGGAAGACAGGCCTATTTGCATACAGTATCATACAACCAGGGGCGTAACCACAGATCATGGGGCCCCATAGTAATATTTTGATGGGGTCCCCCAGCAACCTCCCTACTGTCAATGATATTAAAGTCAGGTAGCAGTAGAGCTGCCTGCATAGCTCCCCCTGTACATCTGATGTCAGCTCTTCTTGATTAATAATGCCAGTGTCAGCAGCAACTTCTGCAATTCTGATTGGGGCCCCCTTCCACCCCCAGGCCCCGTAGCAGCCGCATGGGCCGATATGGCTATTGTTACGCCACTGCATACAACACAAATCAAAGAGCAGAATGTGACACTGAACTCTAATACTGTAAAACAAACGCGATTCTTTTCTTTTCAGCTCGTTAATTACACCTTTTAGCGTCGTCTTTCACATTTCCCTCATGAACTATCATCCTGTCACAATAACAACTCCATCTGTTAATGTGTATTGAAAACCTGTCATGAAAAAATAATTGAACAGGAGATCATTTTACACGTTGAATGTTTCTCTGTTGTACATGTTCGTTTTACATCCTTTATTTAATTTTTATGTAAATTTTGGGAAAATAAAATAAAATAAACACTTGCAAAATGTAAACACATAAATGCTACTCTCTTAAAAATTCCCCCCTGACCTTTTTCAAAGCTGTCTTGAAGGTAAGTTGGGCAAAATGGAAGGAAAGAGTGGCTGGAATAAAAAAGAGAGAAAAGTTGTATCCATCGGAGGATGACGGGGGGATTGGTTTGATTAGGTCAGATCAGAGAGAGTGATAGAGAATTGTATAAAGGGAGCGGTGTTAAACCTAACAGGTGGAGTAATAAAAGATCAAGACATGAGTATGGATCAAACTGAAGGCAGGAAAGTAGATATAATGCACTGTATGGCCAAAAGTCTGACCATCACACCTACTATATGGCCAAAAAGTGATGTTGACCCTTGGCTATTACACCTATATGAGATTGTTGGACTTCCTGTTCCCAAACCATGGCCGTTAATATGAAGTTGGCCAGCCTTTGTGGCTATAAAATCCTCCAATCTTCTGGAAAGACTTTCTAAAGTTTTGTTGGGCTTTTGAGGGAATTTGTGCCAATTTGTGAGGTCAGGTACAGATATTGGAGAAGACCTGGCTCACAATTGGTGTTCCAATTCATCCCAAAGGTGTTCAGTAGGGTTAAGGCTAGATACTGATGTTGGATGAGAAGACCTGGCTCACAATTGCTATTCTAATTCATCCCAAAGGTTTTCAGTAAAGTTGAGGTCAGATACTGATATTAGATGAGAAGATCTGGCTCACAATTGGCGTTCCAATTCATCCCAAAGGTGCTCAGTAGGGTTGAGGTCAGGATTCTGTGCAGTGCACTCGAGTTCCTCCACACCAAACTGGTCACACCATGTCTTTATAGAACTGACTTTGGGCACCTCAATAATTCTTATAGAATACCTATGCTCCAAAGGGGGTTCCTAAGTTCCATAGGGTTGAGGTCAGGACTCTGGTGTAGAGGAACTTGAGTGGTCTTCACAAACTGGTCAAACCATGTCTTTATGGAGCTGGCTTTGGTAACCTCAACTCAATAATTCTTATAGAATATCTATGTTCCATAAGGTGTTTCATAGGACACTCGAGTTCCTCCACACCATGGCTATATGCAGCAGGCTTTGTACACAGAACACAGTCATGGTGGAACAGAAATGGGTCCTCACCCAACTGTTACCACAAGATGTTGGAGGGTGTCTGGGGAAATTTGTCCCATTTGTGAGGTCAGGTACTGATGTTGGATGAGAAGATCTGGTTCACAAATGCCATTCCAATTCATCCCAAAGGTGTTCTGTTGGGGTGAGATCAGGGTTCTGTGAAGGACACTCATGTTCCTTCTCATCAAACTGGTCAAACCATGTCTTTTTGGTGCTATTGCTATGTGTTGTGCATTGACCAAGAGAAAGGGGTAGACCCCCCAAAAGCTTGTCCTATAAAAAAATTAGTTGACATAAAAAAAGTATTACAGACAGTGCTAACCCATATTCTTGGCATGCTTCACAATATTGAACATACTCTTGTAATTTAGAACGATGAAAAAACACAGCAAGCACGGTTGTGTTATTTCAAATAAAAATACTTCAAATTACAGCCAAAAATTCACTCCAGCGATGTCTGCATGGCATTTCTCAGGCCGGCTTTCCTGATGGTGACAACAGTGGACCATGTCTGTGTAATGTTTGTTCAAACGGCCACTTGTAGTCTCCATCAGAAGCCCATGTAACAGGGTGACAACGCAGGTGCACAATTGGGAGACAGGGAAGTAGTGTGGCCTCCCTATAACAGGAAGCGCATGGACAAGGACCTCCATGGCAGGATCACCAGGGATGATTTTAGTGAAAGCTGCAGATTTATAAATCTTGAAAGTGACTTTTGAAATAACATCAACATAATAAAGCTTCTTTTAGATTTCAGTGATTTGGTTTACGTCTACTTTACTACCCCCAGTGGGAGGAAGAGAAGGAAGACAGTTATGGGAAGGAGGAGGGAGGGCAGGTCCAGCGCAGCAATTAAGTGAAAGTGAACAGTCATGCCCTCAGGACATACATATGGAGGGATGGTGGGTCGGATGTTAAAAGTAATGAACGGTATTGATGAAGGGAGCGGATGGCAAGCAGAGAGAGGGACGTTTTTTCATTTCTGGTTGCTCACTCCAAAGCCATAGTTATATGCTAAAACCAGAGAGCTACTTTGTTTTATGTCTTTCCTTCTGCAGAACATGGTTGTCCTTTCTAAATGTTTTCTGTCTGCCAGTTTCCTTAGTGACAATCAGATCGAGGTTTTGAAGGCTGAAGTCTTTAAGGATCTTCACTCCTTGGAATGGCTGTAAGTTGTGAAAGATTTACATGACTGTGTCATCTCTGAGCATGTATGGACTTAACAAGGAAAACATATATCTGATATTAAGTCCATTTTAAGATGTTACATTTATTGTGAAATTTGTACACCTGCTGTCCCCATTATGAGGGGTTCCCATCATACCTGTCCTGAGTTCCCGGGTCTGTACAACTGCTGTGCCCATTATGAGGGGTTCCCACACTCCCTGTGCTGAGTTCACGGGTCTGTACACCTGCTGTGCCCATTACGAGGGGCTCCCACAATCCCTGTGCTGAGTTCCCGGGTCTGTACATCTGCTGTGCCCATTATGAGGGGTTCCCACCATCCCTGTGGCTGAGCTCCCGAGTCTGTACACAGCATTATGAGGGGCTCCACCATCCTTGCTGGATTTTTTATGTATTTTATAATAATATAAACAGAAGTTGCTGAAAAACACAAAGGTGGGCAGGAACACCCAAAACTGTCACATGGACATGATGGCAAAGAGGTCTCACTCTTGGAGTATCCAAGACATATAAGAAGCCAGGAGCTTTTGGGTGGACTAACCCTTGAAGATAATTGATGGATTGTCCTAATCCGACTTTTAGTTAACTCAAGCTTATTTTCCTCATTTACTAATCAGCACGTGCAATATTCTTATCTCTTTCAGGATATTAGACAATAACAGAGTCAACAATATTCATCCTGGGGCATTCAAAGGCCTGAATTCTTTGTATTTTCTGTAAGTGTTGTTCCCCATCGATACCAATTACTAAATCAGGATCAGACTGGTTTCATTATAATAAGTTAAGGTGTATGAGGTATGCAGATACATCCAAAACGTTGAGGGGTATGAGGATACATTCAACACATTGAGGTGTATGAGGGTACATCCAACACACTGAGGTGTATGAGGTATGAGGATACATCCAACACACTGAGGTCTATGAAGTATGAGGATACATCCAACATATTCAGGTGTATGAAGCATGAGGAAACATCCAACACACTGAGGTCTATGAAGTATGAGCATACATCCAACACACTGAGGTGTATGAAGTATAAGCATACATTCAACACACTGAGGTCTATGAAGCATGAGGATACATCCAACACACTGAGGTCTATGAAGCATGAGGATGCATCCAACACACTGAGATCTATGAGGTATGAGGATAGGATACATCAAACACACTGAGGTGTATGAAGCATGAGGATGCATCCAAGACACTGATGTCTATGAGGTATGAGGATAGGATACATCCAACACACTGAGGTGTATGAAGTATGAGGATACATCCAACACACTTTGTTTGGTTTTGGGCATCCCCACCTTCTTCAGGGCTGTGGGAATATATTGGTTTGGGTCTAGTTGGTGACTGGATAATTTTTGCTGAGGGCTATTCAAGGCTTATCATGTTGAAAGCGCACCCTCAATAGCATTGAGTCACGTGAGATTCTTTGAGGTTTCTACAAGCTGCTTTTTGTTGCTCTCCTCACCCACCAAAACCTAAGCAGAGTAGGGAGACAGTATCCCATACTGTGCTAGTGGTTGGTTTATGGTGTACTAAGATTAAGTAGACTGTATCTTTGAACAGCTCTACCCCAGCCTCAGCACTCCTTGTGTGAACGTGATGTCCAATCTTGTTAGTAAAACTAAGCCCAGCCAGCCAAATAGGGTTGGAGAAGGGCAACACAAGACAATCCGCTTGGGGCAGTACAAAGTTTAATGTGGATCCACCTACCGTGTTTCCCCGAAAATAAGATACTGTCTTATATTTTTTTGGCCTCAAAAAAACACACTAGGTCTTATTTTCTGTGTAGATCTTATTTTTTTTATGTACAACAATCCAAAGTTAATGCAAATCCAAAATAAATAATCCAAAATGGCAAAGTTAAGAATAGGGTGATCAGGGCAATCAGGGGTGCCGTACCTTTCCAAGAGCAATTTGGTAACCAATCGCTGGCCAGTGCTTTCACTATTGATTCCTCACAGGCGGAGTGCATTTGGTATCACTCCGCCTGTGACAGGAGCCGGCGCTATAGAGGAAACATCGGCTTATGTGGCTCTGCTCCCTCCGCTGCCGCCTCGCTTCCTCTAGCGCTGGCTTCGTTGGCACCGCTGATTCTCTCCCGCCTCTCCCACGGCTCTTCAAGTTCCCCCTTATGCCACCACCGGCCCTTGGAATGGTCACAACTAGGTCTTATGTTTTAGCAATTCCCAAAAATAGTACTAGGTCTTATTTTCGGGAAACACGGTACTTATTACAAAAACCACAATATAAAAGGATATATACAGCGATGACCCTACTCTAGGTTTGCCCATGCTCACCTCTCGAAAGGTAGCTACACACCAAGCTATGACCTCCACTTAAGATTATTGATAAAAACACAACCACAAAAGCTCCTACCTCTGATGTGTTTCACCCATAAAGGGCCTTATCATATGGGGTGAAACGCGTTACTGGCAGGAGCTTGTGTGGTGGTGTTTTGAACAATTAAGTTTAGTGGAGTTCGTAGCTTGGTGAGACCTTTGGATTATAATTATATAGACTGGAGCTAATTCTTCTATAAAATGTTGTAACTCCTTAACCAATGCAAGTTAGCTGATATTTATCTCTGGTTTCATGCAGATACATGCTAAACAATTCCATAAGTGCAATACCAAGCAATTCTTTATGTGCAGAAATGCCTCGTCTCAACTGGCTGTAAGTAATTGCTCTGATAATTATGATTTTCCTTAGGAAGACGCACTCCCTTTTTTTTTTCCTTTAGCCTCCATTATTTTCGAAAAACATATGAATTATTAATATAATGATGCCTTTATGGGAGCAGTTATCCTTTTCTTATTTAAAGATACACTATATACAGGGACAAATGTTGGTGGACACCTGACTATAACACTCATGGAAGCTTGTTGAACATCCCATTCAAAAACCATGGCCATTAATATGGAGTTTCTGTTGGAACTTCATGCACAGCCTCACAGAGAAACACAAGCACACAGTCTCATATGCATGCTGCACATGGCTTGAAAACAGGAAGGAAGCCACAGCTTTATTCTCTACCTTATTCAATACAGCAGAGTATGAGGTATCATAGATATAACAGAACACTGCCATCTTGTATACTGCAGTAGTTGATGCAATAGACACAAAGTGTATTCCCAACCATGACCATTAACATGTGGCTGCCCCCCTCCTCCTTAACCATGGACATTAATATGGAGTTGCACCTCCAACAATGGCCATTTACATGTGGCTCCTACTTAACCATGGTCATTAATATGAAGTGGCACCCCCAACAATGGCCATTTACATGTGGCTCCTCCTTAACCATGGCCATTAATATGGAGTTGTACCCCCAACAATGGCCATTTACATGTGGCTCCTACTTAACCATGGTCATTAATATGAAGTGGCACCCCCAACAATGGCCATTTACATGTGGCTCCTACTTAACCATGGTCATTAATATGAAGTGGCACCCCCAACAATGGCCATTAACATGTGGCTCCTCCGTAACCTTGGAGTTCCCTCCTTTGTGGCCATAACATTCTCCACTCTTCTGGGAAGAAGATAATGGAGAGTGTCTGTAGGAATTTTTGCCCATCTATGAGGTCATATACCCATGTTTGATGAGAAGATCTGGCTCACAGCTGGCGTTCCAATTCATCCCAAAGGTGTTCAGTAGAGTTGAGATCAGGATTCTGTGCAGTGCACTCGAGTTCCTCCACACCAAACTGGTCACACCATGTCTTTATAGAACTGACTTTGGGCACCTCAATAATTCTTATAGAATACCTATGCTCCAAAGGGGGTTCCTAAGTTCCATAGGGTTGAGGTCAGGACTCTGGTGTAGAGGAACTTGAGTGGTCTTCACAAACTGGTCAAACCATGTCTTTATGGAGCTGGCTTTGGTAACCTCAACTCAATAATTCTTATAGAATATCTATGTTCCATAAGGTGTTTCATAGGGTTGAAATCAGGGCTCTGGTGTGGTGGAACTTGAGTGGTCTTTTCAAACTGGTCAAACCACATCTTTATGGAGCTGGGTTTGTACACAGGGGACGGTCCTGGCGGAACAGAAAAGGGCCTTCACCAAACTGTGACCACAAGGCTGGAAGAGCACAATTGTCTACAATGTCTTTGTATGATGTAGTATTACCAGAACCTTCACTGGGGATGCCTGAACTCAATCATTTGGAGGGGGGTCCACATACCTTTGTCAATATAGTGTATCTTTCACAGGTTAAAGAGTTTGAGTGGGAAGGCCCTTGTTTGTTTTAATGAGTAGAAATAAATATTTGCCCTTTTACATATTTAATAGCTATAAAAATGTTGTACAGTTTAGGGGCTGATGTGTTTTCCTATTCTTTTTTCTTTTTAGGGATCTGGAGGGGAATGAGATAGAGACAATCCACAACTCTGTGTTTCAGGAGTGCATAACTGTTTTGTAAGTGTCGGGAAACACAAAAACCCCTTTACAGTCTCTGCAATACCTTTTCATTGTGTTTTATTCCTTTTTTTTAGGGCTGTGGAAATTAAAGATTAATTTCTCGATTAATCGTTAAACTTTTTGATAGATTAAAATTATTTTGATCGCTAATGAAAACACTCACCTCTCCGCCGGCTTCCGGGAGCGATCCGGTGATGTCACGGACATCGACGTCACCGAACTCCTCCCCTCTTCCCCAAGTGGCTCTGTTAGCTAACGAAGGGAAGGGGGGAGGAGTCTGATGACGTCGATGTATGGACGGCTAACGAAGGGAAGGGGGAGGAGTCCGGTGACGTCGATGTCCGTGACGGCTAACGAAGGGAAGGGGGAGGAGTCCGGTGACGTCGATGTCCGTGACGTCACCGGACTCCTCCCCCCTTCGTTAGCCGACGGAGCCACTTGGGCCGGTGAGTTTGCCCAAGAAACTTTCTGCACGAGCGCCAGCCAAGGCATTGGCCTATACACATACAGCACAGCAATGAAGTAATAAAATGAACTAGGATCACACTAATCCAGCACGTTATTATTCTGAGTTGCCCCACTCAAGCGGCGGCCATATTGAGTGGGGCACGTGAGATTAATAACGTGCTGGATTAGTGTGATCCTAGTTCATTTTATTACTTCATTGCTGTGCTGTATGTGTATAGGCCAATGTAGTTGGATCTGTATGTGCGTTATAATGAATCGAAATTAATCGATGAAAAAAAATTTCGATTAATCCAACACGAAAATTTTAATGATTACCATCCCTACTTTTTTCAGTTTATATGTTTTTTTATTATTAATGTAAGATCTTGGTTTTGCCAGTAAACAACGAAGGCAGGACGTAGACATGAAATGGGCTCTTGGGCCTTTTTTCAGAGGGAGAGGGTGTGACGACATGGTGATCAGTTTATAAGTTAAATGTGTATTGGGGTTGAGTTATGTTTGAGTGCGTTATGCTGTGTGACCTGGTTATGGAAAGACTATCAGCACCATCCCTCGTTATCTCCTATTGTTCTCTGAGGGAGCTCAGAACAATGACATTCTGGCCAGGCTTCTGTTATGGCTGTCTGGAGCTCGTTAGCAGGTGGACACCTGTGGTGTTGAGCAGACCGATGGTCTGGGAGGGGAGGGGGGATGTGATGGGATTATATTCTGATCTGATCACTTTCTGTATAAAAGTTTGTGCAGTTGTTCAATAAAGCAGAGTTTGTTTACCCTACACTCAAGCCTTGGCTAGTGACTGGGGAAACTGGGAGCTACAGATCTTCAGGTTCCAATATCTCCTCAGCAAGGAAGAAGACAGCGGCGGACATACTCATCCTGAGTACGGGGGTCCGTCACAGAGGGTCCATTTTTTTTTAGATGTCAGATTATTTTCTGTTGATCACGGTGCAAAAACTGGGAACTGTTCTAATCCCTGAGGCATGCAGAGATAACAATGACATAAACTGAATGTGCATTGACCAGGGAAGACACATTAATGATGCTTTTACATATGAGTAATGTGTGTTTAGCTGTTAAGTGACCATCACAATACACACATGCAATAATTATAAAGCAGAAGCATAAATTTGCTAAGATGCTCGCAGTAGGCTGCACGTATAATTTCCCTGCTTTATAACAATATTTATACTATGCATTTAAGTGTTTGTATAAGAAGCATACAGATCGTTATTTGCGCCTCACCAAGACACTGTGAAGTGGGTGAACTCATGCGTAATAGGAGGTATTTATTAAGGGAGATATAAACCCGATCACTAAAACCTCATGTAAGCTTGAACACTTCTTTTTTAATTTGCAACTTTCATTAAAATAATCCCCGGTGGTCCTGCCATAGTGGCCCTTGTCCAGGCATTTCCCATAGTGGGGAGTGTCAACACTCTGTCCCTGCCTCCCAGTAGTGCTCCTGTGTTGTTATTCGCTGTCACATGGGCTTCCAATGGAGACTACAAGTGGCAGTGGCACATATTACACAGGAATGACAATGGTAATCCCTGGTGATCCTGCAATGAAGGTTGGTGTACATGGACTCCCTTATATAGGGTGCTCCTGCCACATGGGCTTGCAATGGAGACTACAAGTGACTGTTTCAACACACGTTACACAGGCATTACCCTGGTGATCCTGCCATGAAGATCCTTCTTCATGGACATCCTTTTATACGGTGCTCCTGCCACATGGGCTTCCAATCCTGACTACCATTGACAGTTTCAACTCAAGCATGACCATTGTAATCCATGGTGATCCTGCCATGAAGATCCGTGTTTCTTACATAAGGGTGCTCCTGCCACATGGGCTTCCAAAGAAGACTACAAGTGGCCGTTTCAACATACATTACAGACATAGTCCACTGTTGTCACCATCAGGAAACCAATTTTATCAGTCCAGTACATGTTTGATCCAGGTGGCGTCCCCTTTGATCGTCTGTGTTCCTAATTTTTGAAAGGATTGGGGCTTTGCTCAATCAGTGATCCCCCATGCATCTAGGAGTCATCTATGATATCTGCCACCTCATCTGGATGATCGGCACCTTAGGTAGCAACTCCGGATGGTGTCCCCCTTTGATCCTATGTGTTCCTAATTTTGGAAAGGATTGGGGCTTTGCCCAATTAGTGATCCCCCATGCATCTAGGAGTCATCTATGATATCTGCCACCATATCTGGATGCTCAGAACCTTAGGTAGCAGATCCAGGTGGTGTCCCGTTTGATCCTATGCGTTCCTAATTTTGGAAAGTACTGGGGCTTTGCCCAATTAGTGATCCCCCATGCATCTAGGAGTCATCTATGACATCTGCCACCACATCTGGATGCTTGGCACCTTAGGTAGCAGCTCCGGATGGTGTCCCCCTTTGATCCTATGCGTTCCTAATTTTGGAAAGGATTGGGGCGTTCCCCAATTAGTGATTCCCCCATGCATCTAGGAGTCATCTATGACATCTGCCACCACATCTGGATGCTCAACACCTTAGCTAGCAGATCTGAGTGGCGTCCCCTTTGATCGTCGGTGTTCCTAATATCGGAACAGTCCTGGGGCTTTGCCCAATCAGTGATCCCCCATGCATCTAGGAGTCATCTATGATATCTGCCACCTCATCTGGATGATCGGCACCTTAGGTAGCAACTCCGGATGGTGTCCCCCTTTTATCCTATGTGTTCCTAATTTTGGAAAGTACTGGTGCTTTGCCCAATTAGTGATCCTCCATGCATCTAGGAGTCATCTATGACATCTGCCACCACATCTGGATGCTTGGCACCTTAGGTAGCAGCTCCGGATGGTGTCCCCCTTTGATCCTATGCGTTCCTAATTTTGGAAAGTACTGGGGCTTTGCCCAATTAGTGATCCCCCATGCATCTAGGAGTCATCTATGATATCTGCCACCATATCTGGATGCTCAGAACCTTAGGTAGCAGATCCAGGTGGTGTCCCGTTTGATCCTATGCGTTCCTAATTTTGGAAAGTACTGGGGCTTTGCCTAATTAGTGATCCTCCATGCATCTGGGAGTCTTTTTTCCCCTTTAAAGTCATTCTATATACAGAGATAATAATTCGGAGAGGCGCAGCATCTGCTGATTCCCACAGCCAGATCCCCTTTTCTCACAACTGCTTTATATCCCTGTAAAACTGTCAGCACAAACGGCGGCTCTACTCTCCGCGAATTTAAACACCATCCCGTGTTTATCCTTTTTCGTTCTCTGGACAGTATTTTTTATTTTTTTTCCCTGACAGAGATATAATTAGTATCTAAAATTACTTTCTTGATGCAAACCAAATTACCTCATTTGAAAGGCAGTCAATCCTAATTACATCTTCGACGGACAAAAATGCAGAAAATGTCCTTAAAAACCGAAGAGGGACCAATTTACGAAAAGCAGCAGACACTTGGCTTTTGATGAATCGTTGTCGTTGCTGAGTCTGTTCGCCAGGTCATAGAGGGAATGCAGATAATGTGTCCATCCATATAGGATTAAAGTAGATGTAAACCTTCACCGAGTGACATTTGGTTTGCTCTGTGCGCTTCGTATCATAAACAATTGCCATTTTCCCAAAAAGACACAATAAGATAAGGCCATGGATTCAAAATTAACAAGAGTTTTAATTCCGTGCCAACATCCCGGCTCAACATTTGTATGAAGATTGAAAGGGACTAATGTATAGGAATCAAATTACACATCAAACACTGTTAAAAACTCTTTTGAGACCCTCCCCCACTTAGGGTCTGGCTCATGAACATCAATGATATTAAGTCTATGGAAGAGCTGACTATAGTGCTACAATTTTGAGAAGAGAAATCCTGGTAAACTTGGTTGGGCTTCACAATATTTTTTAAGGAATTCCCTTTTGAGGACCTTAAAGAGATGAAGGTTCTGCCATTTGAGTAACCTTCTGACGTTTCTCTCCTCCATTTTGTTCTTATAGTTTCTGGTCCCTCCTTACTTTCTCCCTATTGCCATACTTCTCCCTGTCTCTTACCCCATCCCATCTCCCCTCTTCTTTCATCTCTGCCCTCTTCTCTGCTTTGCTGTTTGCCCTCATGGTCCATTCGGTTCTTACAACTCAGGAGCATAACTGGGAGGCAGGGATAAAGTGTCATTACCCTTTAAAAAGAAGTTCATGAACAAGGACCTTCATGGCAGGTCATGCTTGTGTAATGTGTATTGAAAACGGCCACTTGTAGTCTCCATTGGAAGCCCGTGTGGCCATTGGGCGGACATTTATGATGTAAGTCATGCACCTGCACACTGCAGTTACATCATCTCGCCATCTGGCTCCACTCTTGGCATCTTAGAGATCCTGGGAATGGCCGGGGGCATACACTGCACTGGTAGGAACAAAATACATTGCTTGGAGTAAGTAGGATATTTTTGACACAAGAGACTTCCAAAGTCTCTTCTGCTAAAAGATTGACCTCCTAGGGTTGTTAGGGTTTTGTTTTCCGCTTTACACTTTTCTGTGGTTTCACCTTAGCCCTTACAATGTCAGTGGGGTTGGAGAATGAGCCCGGTGGCCACTCTCTAATGTCAAAATGTATGTCTCGGCAAAACCTTTTTTTTGTTTTGGATAGTGTGTGGAAGGGCTTCTACTGCTGTGTTTCCCCATTGTGAAGATTTACCTCTCTGTTTGTACTGGTGACCATTGCCACCAAGAAAGAGAGTGAGGGGAAAGCCAATATTTTAGCGTTGTCCCCAAACCAGGAGGTTAGGCGAAGTCTTCCAGTGGGGACTACTGTTCCAGGGACAATGGTCGAAGAGGGGAGATTTCTAGACATGTGCGATTCGTTACGAATTGAAATTCGTACGAATTTTCCTGAAATTCGTAAATTCGGAAGCATCCGAATTCCGAATTGCAGTTTCCGAATTATATCCGAAATACGAAATTCCGTTAACAAATTTCGGATCCGAATTTCTTTGAAACGGGAACTAATATATTACCCCTGTAAATGAGGTTGAACAACATGACAAGATTTTTTTTTTTAATCCGAAATACGGATCCGCTGCTGCTGAGGGTTGCATTACAATACACAGGCAGGAAATACGAAATTCCGTTACGAACATTCGTTATATTGAAGTTAAAAAGCAAAGTACAGCCCGTTGCCCAGACCACTGACACATATTCTGAAACGGAACGAAACGGAACAATTTTTTGACGGCGCACAAGTCTAGAGATTTCCCAAATTCAAAGTTCCACTTTAGAAGGCTAATTCAAGGGTTACAAAGTCACCTTGTTGAGGAGTTCCTAATGCCCCTAATGTGGTAATATATTACAATCTCTCATTTTCTGTTTTCTAGGGTCTTGCGCCGAAACAAGATACAAGAAATCAAGAATAAAGCATTGACCCAAATGCACAAGCTAGTAGACCTGTGAGTCTTTTTATTCTTAATAACCTTGTACATATGAAGCAATATAAACAGACAGACATGGCTATGCTCATGGACATAACCATATAGGATGTTAAATTGCAAGTTATAGTCATGAACTTTATTTTCTTATTTTTGGATGGAGTTTGGAAGACTTAGAACCCCTGTCAGGTTTTTTGTTGTTGTCTGTGTGAGAGATTCCCCCTCACTAATTGTCCTGGTGACCATTGTCACACTGAGAAAAACTGAACCTAAATCCAACAGTTGTCACCAGGACAAGAGGTGAGGGGAAATCTTCCAATAGGGACACTTGTTCTGGTCAAGAGAGCAAAATTTCCCTCACTTTGAAGAGATTACCTCTCACTTCCTATTGGGACACAGAGCAAAGAAATGCACTGACTTGCTTTAAATCTGAATTCTGGCCTTCCCTTCACTCTTGTACAGTTGTGTATGTTCGTCTCCTCCTTAACTGCCTATAGATTTTCTATAACTTTGAACTTCTGTAATGATTGTCTCGCGGAACATCTAACTGTCTATTATGTTACCTTGTCCATAAACAGAGACCTTTCTGTTAACCAGATTGAGGCGCTTTCCCCGTCACTGTTCGCCAACCTGCAAGAACTTCAACAGCTGTGAGTGTTCTGCTTACGTCATCTTTAATCATTCACTATATGACCAAAAGTATGTGGACCCCCCTCCAAATGATGGAGTTCAGGTGTCTCCAGTGAATGTTCTCTTAATACTACATCATGCAAAGACATTGTAGACAATTGAGCTCTTCCAGCCTTGTGGCAACTGTTTGGTAAAGAACCTTTTCTGTTCCACCATGACTGTCCCTGTACCCGAAGAGGGTTTATTTAATAGGATGCCGTGCATAAAGTGTATCAGGGGCTTCCATCTCCAACAGTGATGTGAACCCAACATACATTGACTATTATACCCACTGATATGGCCAAAAATATGTGGATGCCCTTCCAAATGATGGAGTTCTGGTTTCTCCAGTGAAAGTTCTGTTAATGCTCCATCATACAAAGACATTGTAGACAATTGTGATCTCCCAGCCTTGTGGTCAGTTTGGTGAAGACCCTTTTCTGTTCCACCATGACTGTCCCCTGTGCACAAAGCAAGCTCCATAAAGACATACATAGTGTGACCAATCTGGTGTGGAGGAACACGAGTGTCCTGCACAGAGCTCTGACCTCAACCTTACTGAGCGCCTATGGGATGAGTTGGAAGGCCGATTGTGAGCCAGGTCTTCTCATCCAACACCAGTATCTGACCTCACAATTCTCACAGAGACCCTCCAAAATCACGTGGAAAGCCTTCCCAGAAGAGTGGAGGATGTTATAGCCACAAAGGGGGCCAACACCATATTAACAGCTATGGTTTTGCAATGGAGTACCCAATAGAGATGCGTGAGCTCTTGACTATGTGGTCTAGGTTATATATGAACACCACTAAGACCTGGCTTGGACAGTTCTGTGTGAAGGAACTTAAGTGGCCTACACAGAGCCCTGACCTCATCCCTACTGAACACCTTTGGGTGAACTGGTATGCCGTTTGTGAGCCACATCCATCTTCTCATCCAGCACCAGCACCTGACCTCACAAATACTTGACAAATAACTGCAGCTATACATTATACCTTTGTCCAAAACTTCTGCATACTTAGGAAACACCTATAGTCAGTAGGAAAAATAGTTATTGTCCTACTGACTATAAGTCTTGTAGCTATTTATTTATTTATGATATTTGTTTTTTTAGGAATATATCCTTCAATCCTCTACATGAGATTCCACATAACCAGTTTGATATGTTGCCCTGCCTGCAGTCATTGTAAGTATCTTGCTTTTCCATAATTCTGATAATAATGTGTCCATAATTCTTGCTCTGTGGAGTCATCCCAAGAATTCCACTCTAAAATCAGAGGTTCTTAGTTGGATGTTTCCAAACTCCTTGGGGTACGGGAACCAAATGATGGGGGTATGGGTCTGGATCTCTTACTACTTAAATAAAAAAACAGGATTCTCTGAAATACTGATCCTGAAATAAGGCTGACATTCTATTCCTACCAGTGGGAAGGTCCACCTTTTGAAGGTGCCCACTAGGGATGTCCCGATACTATTTTTTCAAGACCAAGTACAAGTACTGTTCCTCAGGTACTCACCGATACCAAATACTAACAAGTACTGTGTTTGGGTCTCACCAGGGCTTCGACAGATATCACCAGGGCTGTGTTCAGATCTCTCCAGGGTGGGAGCAAGGAAGGTGGAGATGGGAGCCAGACCGCCACTGTCAAAGACAGCTACCGCAAGGTTCCCAGCAGACTGCCTAAGGTCCCCAGAAAGTGCAGGACCTCAGGCAGCCGAACTTGTTTAAAAATGTAAAGGGCCGATATCGGCCTTTAGTATCGGGGCATTTTCACGAGTACAAGTACTTCAGAAAATGCCCTGTATCAGACCCGATACCGATACTGGTATCGGTATTGGGACATCCCCAGTGCCCACCATACCCTCCCTAAAACACTGCATAAAAGTACCTGTAGTGGAACAGAAAAGATAATATCCCCACTTTTCCCAGTCTTCTGCAGTGCTGGAGACATCTTCATCATTGTGCCAACAAGATCCCGGGGAATGCTGAGTAGCCTAAATCTCATGAGTGCAGCACAGCAAAGGATTTTCTTCTTGTGACATTTGGGCTTCTCAACATTCTCTGAGATCTGGCCACACAGAGGATGACGAAACCCTAGTATAGGTGCTGTGGGAGTTGCAAAAAGGCACCTACATGCAGCGTTTCCGGGGCAACTTGACTAAGCGGACCTGGCTATTGAGGTGGAAGATCCACTTTAAACTAGAGAAATTTACCTGATGCGCTATATGATATGGGAGTAACATTGTAAGTGACTTGACCTCCTTTCCATGTTCTGGTGCCTTATATGGCTGGTGATGATGATGATGATGTGGAGAGTATGGTGAAAGGCATAAGGGGACATATAGGGAATCCCATTAGGGGAGTCTGAATTCGTAGCATTTACGTTTACTAAACGATTTTGGGGAACCATCTCATATGCTTACTTTTCCTTCTTCTCAGAATCATGGAGGGCATAGAGGTCCGCAACATCAGTAACCGCATGTTCTCGAAAATGGCCAACCTGTCTCACATGTAAGTACAAGATAAGCCATTGAGTAGACCAAGTCTCAGGTGTGGTTTCATGTGAAGTGAATGTTCAGTAATGGTTAAGTGTGACACCTCCAGGAACAGTATAGGTCAAATGTAGTCAACTTACCTCTAAGTGATGGAGTTCAGACAGACAGAACATTGTAGACATTTGTGATCTTCCAACCTTGAGGTAACAGTTTGGTGAAGACCCTTTTCTGCTCCACCATGACTGTCCCCTGTGTACAAAGCCAACTCCATAAGGACAAGTTTTGACCAGTTTGTGAAGGCCACTGAGGTTCCTGCATCGGAGCTGTGACACCAACCCTATGGAACTTAGGAACACCCTATGGAACATAGGTGTTCCATAGGATTTATTGAGTTCAGGTGTACAAAGCCAGCTCCATAAAGACATGGTTTGACCATTTTGGTGTGGATGAACTCGAGTTCGCCTCACAAAGCCTTGACCCCCAACCCCACTGAACACCTTTGGGATGAAATGGAACTCAGTGACCCAGGTCTTATCCAATCAGTACCTGAAGAGGGTTTATTTAAAAGGATGTCATGCATAAAGTGTATCATGGGCTTCCTTCTCCAACAGTGATGTGAACCCAACATACATTGACCATCACACCTACCCATATGGCCAAAACTATGTGGATGCCCTTCCAAATGGAGTTCAAGTATCTCCAGTGAAGGTTCTGTCCATCCTCCATCATACAAAGACATTGTAGACAATTGTGTTCTTCCAGCCTTGTGGTCACAGTTTGGTGAAGACCCTTTTCTGTTCCACCATGACTGGCCCCTGTGTACAAAGCCAGCTCCATAAAGACATGGTGTGACCAGTTGTTTGTGAGCTTCTCGTAAAGTGCATTAGAAGCTGCAGCAAGTCAGATGGAGCCCTCCTCATTTCCTGGCAGGAGGACTTCCAGCACCCTCCAGCGCCTTCCTCCCCAGCCTGACTGTCCTTGGCCCCACCCCTTTCATTCATTGGATTTCAGTTCTGTCAATCATGGAAGCTCAGCATCACCCCTAAGTGGTCTTCATGCAGATACAGCCTGCCTAGAAACGCCCACTCCTCCAGACTGACACCCACCCATCAAGACATATTGATATATTTGCATAACTCCTCCCAAGAGGCGGCCCACTGCTTGACCAGGGAAAACAAAACATATGCAGATTAAACTGTGGGTAGAATACTTTGCATGCATTGAATTTATAAATGTTTGCTCTCCTCTGACTTTCATCTGATCATCTTAACTTTTTGCTGATTTGTGGTGGGCGGGGCTCCGATCCACCCCTCCCCCCATTAAACAAAAAGAAACTTCTCAATTCTGTTAATTTATTTATAAACAAATAATAAAATGTAAATAAATATAATTCCCGGCATTGCACATTTGCTGCTAACATAGCAGTTTGTTTACGGATGAAAGAAAGTGAATTTCGGATGACGGAGAGACTCGAGCAGATGCAAAGTGACACGGAACTCATTTGATAAACGCGCCGTGTCGTCACGCTAATCTCGGCACAATTTCTCCGGCTGACACTCATTATCTTTCCTCGACCACGGAAATTGGCGGTCAGATATAAAGGACACTAATTAACGCGGCTCCGTGTTCATTAACATACCGCTAAATGGGTTTTTAAAGATAGAACTTGCCTCGTGCAATCCCTGTATACCGGGGGCAGGCAACCCCGGCCCTCCAGCTGCTGTGGAACTACAAGTCCCATGAGGCATTGAAAAACTGACAGTTGCAGGCATGACTCCCGGAGGCAGAGGCACATTGGGATTTGTAGTTAAAGCACAGCTGGAGGGCCGGAGTTGCCCACCCCTGGTCTATAGAGTAGCACTCAGGCTGGGAAAGGAAGGGGCAGCTCTGAGCAATCATATGTGCTGCATGCAAATGTGCTGATCAGGAACATGCTGACAGAGTAGAAGAAAGCAGAGAGAGCAAAGGGATGACTTCATCAGTCTTCTGCTGCTGCAGGCAGGAGGAAGCATTTCCTCAGTCTCCCCTCCCCAGTGATCAATCTGTTGCAGGCAGGAGGAAGCGTTTCCTCAGTCTCCCCTCCCCCAGTGATCAGTCTGCTGCAGGCAGGAAGAAGAATTTCCTCAGTCTCCCCTCCCCCAGTGATTGGTCTTCTGCATACAGGAAGAAGCATTTCCTGAGTCTCCCCTCCCCCAGTGATCAGTCTGCTGCAGGCAGGAGGAAGCATTTCCTCAGTATCCCGTCCCCCCAGTGGTCAGTCTGCTGCAGGCAGGAGGAAGCATTTTCTCAGTCTTCCCTCCCCCAGTGATCAGTCTGCTGCAGGCAGGAGGAAGCATTTCCTCAGTCTCCCATTTGCCAAGAAAATACTGCATTTGACCTGCTTTGCCTGCCTGCAGTTCCAATGCACCTCCATAGCACCTGCTGCATCCAAAGAAACGCATTATAGACCAGAACTCTTTCTCTATATATCAGACAGTCTGATGGAAAACCTCCTCTGCCATTATCCCTATGACAGCCTCTGACTTGTCTCTCTTTTTGCCTTCTAGATACTTCAAGAAGTTTCAGTACTGCAGTTACGCCCCGCACGTCCGCAGCTGCAAGCCGAACAGTGATGGCATCTCCTCCTTCGAAAACTTGCTGGCCAACATCTTGCTGCGGGTCTTCGTCTGGGTCATGGCCTGCGTCACCTGCTTCGGAAACCTGTTTGTGATCTGCATGAGATCATTCATAGTCACGGAAAACTGCCAGCACGCCATGTCAATCAAATCGCTCTGCTGTGAGTGTGGCGAACACCAAGGTCACGTCATAAGAACCAGGACATTATGGCCATTAGAGTCAACCAGGACAATGCCGGTTCTAACCACTTCATTGGTACCGCCGGCAAAATTTCGGCAAAGTAGAAATTCTCATTATCCCTTACTCAGCTGCTAAGTCATTTAAAGCCCACTGTACCCTAAAAGCCACCAAAACACATTCATTTTGTCCACCTCATTGACCCCAAGATGTTCTTTTCCTACAATACATTTATGAATAAGCCTTCATAGATTATCGTTTCGGGATTACCATAATCATTAATGTTTATTTACCTGATACATTCTTATATTTTGTGTGTCTGGGAAGGTTTTCATTCATCCATAGTACACTATATGGCCAAAGGAATGAGGACACCCCTCCAAATCATGGAGTTCGGGTGTCTCAAGTGAAGGTTCTGTAAATACTACATCATACAAAGACATTGTAGACAATTGTGCTCTTCCAGCCTTGTGGTCACAGTTTGGGGACACCTGACCATTACACCTACTATATGGCCAGACATATGTGGACCCCCCTTCCAATGATGGAGTTCAGGTGTCTTCAGTGAAGGTTCTGTAAATACTCCATCATACAAAGACATTTAGACAATTATGCTTTTCCAACCTTGTGGTAAAAGTTTGATGAAAACCCTTTTCTGTACCACCATGACTGTCCCCTGTGTACAAAGCCAGCTCCATAAAGACGTGGCATGACCAGATTGGTGTGGAGGACCTCAAGTGTCCTGCACAGAGCCCTGACCTCAACCCTACTGAACACCTTTGGGATTCATTGGAATACCAATTGTGAGCCAGGTCTTCTCATCCAACATCAGTACCTGACCTCACTAATGGGCACAAATTACCATAGTCACATTCCAAAGTTTTGTGGAGAACCTTCCCAGAAGAATGGAGGCTGTTATAGCCACAAACTGTGTCCCTGTGTACAAAGCCAGCTCCGTAAAGACGTGGTTTGACCAATTTGTGAAGACCACTCAAGTTCCTCCACACCAGAGCCCAAACCGCAATCCTATGGATCACCTTATGGAACATAGGTATTCTATAGGAATTATTGAGTTGGGGGTATACAAAGTCAGCTCCATAAAGACATGGTTTGACCAGTTTGGTGAGGAGGAACTTGAGTATCCAGCACAGAGCCCTGACCTCAACCTACTGAACACCTTTGGGATGAATTGGAATGCCAATGGTGAGTCAGGTCTTCTCATCCAAGATCAGTACCTGACCGCAGATCCCCAAAATCTTGTGGAGAACCTTCCCAGGAGAGTGGTGGATGTTGTAACCTCAAAGAGGAACCAACTATGGTCTTGGAATGGCACGTCCAACATGCTCATAGAGTTGCAATGGTCAGGTCTTCACAAACCTTTGGCCATGTAGTGTATATCTGGTAGACACTAGTCACATTCAAGTGGACATGTTCTGTAGCGTTGAAGATGTGTCACCACTAATCCAAGTGCCAATTTGACAACAATTTTCAGCCATTCAACCTTAACACCTGTCTTAGCCTTCATAGCACCATAGTGGATTGTGGAAATAGAGCAGGACAACTTTCACATCTCCTTTTTGTTGAACAAGCAACATCTGATTTGACACATTCTATGATGATTGGAGTTATCCCTGTAGCTGGAGATGTTGGGGAACGTTCCTGGCAGTCATTATAGCTGAGGAAACTACTTGGATGAGTAGAAACATCTTCAACATTATAGAACAAGTCCAGTTGAATGTGAATTATTACTACTAGATACCCTAGTCTTTTGTCTGTGTCTTACACCAGGATTGTATACTCCTTTTTGAATTTTTTTTTTCTTTTTGTGGACCCCTTCTCTGCAGGTGCGGACTGTCTGATGGGATTCTACCTTTTCTGCCTCGGAGCCTTTGACATCAAGTTTCAGGGAGAGTACAACAAGCATGCCCAGGTTTGGATGGAAAGCTTGGAGTGTAAGATGGTCGGCTCCCTGGCCATGCTATCTTCAGAGGTCTCCGTCCTGATGCTCACTTACATGACTTTGGAAAAATACTTTTGCATCGTCTTCCCATTCAGCCACTTTCGAGCAGGGCGCGGGCAGACCTTGGGAGCGCTTTTGACCATTTGGGTGCTCGGCTTCTTAATTACCATCATTCCTTTCCTCAACTACGACACATTTGGAAATTTCTATGGACGGAACGGCGTGTGCTTCCCACTGCAGTCAGACGGCTCGGAGAGGTCTGGAGCTCGGGGATACTCGGTCGCTATTTTTCTAGGTATGGACATTTAGGTATTCGCATAGAACTATGGTCAACAGGGGCGTCCCTAGGAGCTGGACGGGAAGATGTGTAAGGGCTCTGCCTCTCCCCGGTAAGCTCTTGGCAACCTGGAATGCCCTGGCCGATGTCCCGCTGAGCTCCTGGCAACCACCGGTTGCCAGGAGCTCGGCAGAACAGAGCGTCCAGGTTGCTAAGAGTTGCGTGGAGAGATGTGTACGACCCTTACTCATCTTCCCGCCAAGCTCTTAGCAACCTGGGACGCTCTGGCCATAAAGGGGGGACACACTGCAAACATTGCACAGCAGAGAGGCCATGCCACTCTGCCAGCATACCCCCCACACATACACACTTGACCCAAAGAGATGATGCCTGAGGCAACAGCTTCAGCCTGCATCACTATAGGGATGGCCCTAATGATCAAACTATTGAATCTCATATGTAATGTGGGTTGCCCATATCAGTAACAGCGGGCTCTCAGTTATTCTAAGTACCCCCTGCATACTGTACATGCCAGCTGTCCCGGATTTACCAGGACAGCCCTGCATCTTGACCCTCTGCCCCGATGATGCTGTTCCCCCGGGCCATGCTCTAGGATCACAGCATCAACCTACTTTCAGTTACTGCACAGGCACAGTGTGGGGATCGGGGCTGCGAGTGGGTGGTCCCTGCCTATTTAGAGGTGGAGTCTGCACAGCACCAACTCATAGAGTGGATGTGATGGGCGGTACATGCATAAAGAAAGGTGGGGTCTGGGCAGGATCAATCCATAAGGTGGGTGTGATTTTGGCATGCTCACCCAGTAAGTGGGCAGATGAAATGCACACCATGGGTGGGGTTAGGAATGTCCCTGCCTGCTGAACTATAATGTTGGTAGGTATACCCTGTGACATTTTGATCCTGCCAGTATTATTTCCTTTGATAAGGTGACAACACCAGGCCCTCTGTGTTCTTTGTATTTGTCTGGGGTGTTTTAGTGTAAAAAATTTGATTTCAATGTTTTATTTTACCAATTTTCTTTTTTTATATCAGTGAAACAAAAAGGCATTAAAATATTTAGACCAATGAGGGGCCGTTTATAGCAAGAGGACAGGCCAGGATAGATGAATGGAGCCTCTGTAAACCTTTGGAGCCTTAACTCAGTGACCCCTCCAATGCATTTTACCAAACTAGAGCAATTTTATCAAATATCCTAATTTAAAAAAAAATTATATTCAGGGAATTGCTCATTCCAAGGTAACATTATAACAGGAATAGGTGTTGAATGCCGGGAATTAAGTATTTTGATTGTAAGAAGAGCAGTACATCCATAGTGTTAGACAGTGAGCGCCCCCTGGTGGTACAGTGAGGTCTGTTACTACTAAAAAAATTATTTGTGGACTATAGATGCGAGAGCGAAGGTTTATGATTTTAGGAGTTAAACTAGATAAAGGCCCCCAGAGTTCCAGAACTGTATTATACTGTAAATACTGTGTGTGTGTGTGTGTGTGTGTATGTATATATATTATGACTCTCATTAGTCCAGCACTACCACAGGCTCACGTGGTTCATTATCTAACAAAGATTGAGAGTCCTGCAAAATTACTGCCGAGAGTCAGAATGTGATTTATAATTTATGGAGTGAACATCATTATAAATAAAGAAAGAACACCCAAAATTGGTTTTAATGCAATACCTTCTTTCTCATTTTCCAGGCCTGAACTTGCTGGCATTCGTCACCATCGTCTTCTCTTACAGCAGCATGTTCTACTCTATTCATAACACAGGCGCCAAAACAGCAGAGCGCAGCGTCCTCTCCCGTGAAGTCGCCATAGCCAAGAGGTTCTTCTTTATCGTGTTCACGGATGCCCTCTGCTGGATCCCTATATTTCTTCTGAAAGCCGTTTCTCTCACCAAGGCCGAGATTCCAGGTAAAGTAGACATTGTCCATCAAGGTCCTTCTATGGGCCTCTCTTCTGGCTCCTTTGTGACTAGAACATTCCCTACTCTTCTGGGAAGACTTCCCACTAGATTTTGGAGGATGACTGTGGAAATGTGTGGACACTCGAGCTCCACACTGAGCTGGTCAAACTATGTCTTTATAGAGCTGGCTTTGTGGGCATCCCGTTACAAAACCATGGCCATTAATATGTCATGGCTCACTGTGTGGCTATACCATCCTCAGCTCTTCTAGGAAGACTTTCCACAAGATTTTGGAGGGTGTCTGTGAGAATTGTGGCCATTTGTGAGGTCAGGTACTGATGTTAGTAACATTAACCTGGACTTGTTCTGTAATATTGAAGACATTTCACCGTTTATATGGGCAAAAGTTTGTGGACACCTGACCAATAAACCAGTAGGCCCCCTCCAAAGTATTGAGTTTGCAGTCAATAATACTATATGGCCAAAGGAATAAGGACACGCCTTCAAATGATGGAGTTCAGGTGTCTACAATGAAGGTTCTGTTAACACTACAGCAGACAAAGGCATTGTAGACAATTGAGCTCTTCCAACCTTGTGGTCACAGTTTGGTGAAGGCCCTTTTCTGTTCCACCATGACTGTCCCCTGTGTACAAAGCCAGCTCCATAAAGACATGGTTGGTTTGATGAGGAGATGCTCAAGTGTCCTGCACAGAGCCCTGACCTCAACCCTACTGATCACCTTTGGCATGAACTGAAATGCCAGGTGTGAGCCAGGTCTTCTCATAAAACATCAATACCTGACCTCACAAATGGGCACAAGTCCCGACGGTCACCCTCCAATATCTTGTGGAAAATCTTCCCCGAAGAGTGGAGGCTGTTATAGAAACAAAGATGGGCAACTCCATATTAATGTCTATGTGATTTCCAACAAACTCATGTAGGTGTGATGGTCAAGTGTCAAGACTTTTGGTCATATAGTGGGTGTTATGGTCAGGTGCCCACAGACCTTTTGCCTTATTGTGTAGGTCCAAATGATGAATCCACAGAATCCACCAAATAGCTAGTAGTAAGTCAAATTCATCTGGACTTGTTGCTTAAATGTTGAAGACATGTCACCACTCATCCAAGTAGCTTCCTCAACTTACTGCTGGGGTATGTTCCTGACACCTATTAGACCACAGAAGGTTTTTGGGTTAGTAGTGAAGCTTCTTTAACTACAGAATAAGTCCAGTAGAAGGTAACTAACAACTTCTAGCTATCCCATGACCTAGATAAATGAGAACCTTCATGGACAATCCACCAAACATTTACTTGATTGACCTAAACTTCTAGCTATCCCATGACCTAGATGAATGAGAACCCTCATGGACAGTCCACCAAATATAAACTTGTATGACCTAAACTTCTAGCCATCCCATGACCTAGATAAACGAGAACCTTCATGGACAATCCACCAAACATTTACTTGTATGACCTTTTCTGACGCAAGGCAGTTAACGGTCTTCTCTTCCTTGACAGGTACCATCACATCATGGGTTGTGATCTTCATACTACCGATTAACAGCGCTTTGAACCCCATTCTTTATACATTAACAACCTCGTCCTTCCAAGAAAAGCTGAAACAGTGTTTGCAAAGCAAGAGACACCAGTTACAAGAGTCCAGCAAAAGCAGCTTCACGTTAGTATCTATCCACACGAACACGGCTTGACCATGGGCAACCGACAACAGATCGCGAAGACCACTTGGTTTGGGGGGAACACTTGTAAAGCTGCGGTAGGGATGTTAACGACTGTGCCTTCTCCGAAATGTGACGATCAGCCCAGAGGATGTGCAGGTCCACACGGCCGTCTGCTGATTGATTAAAGAGTGCCAACATTTGATAGGGTGCTTGAGCCTTCCAGTCCTAAGACTAAGGGATGTAGGGGCTGTGCTACTTGAAGGCACTTCCGTTTGTGGCTTTGGACAATTTCTGCAAACCGAACAATGAAATTTTTAAGGCGGCTACGACTACGTGACCTCTGTGCAAATACCAGCAATCCACCGCGGAAGGAACTCTGCAAACTGGAAGGTTGTGCAACGCTTTTTATTTTCTTTTTAGTCTGAGGAGCAGACTAGAAAGTCCCAGTGCGGGATTGTGCAAATGGTTTACAAATCAGGAATGGACCTGGACTTGGCGGTAGAAGATTGTGCATCTGTTGACATTATTGGACAACCGGGGGGGGGGGGGGGGGGGGGCGAGCGCAGTGGCGCGGAATACGGGCAGATAGACCAAATAGATGTCAAGGGTTTGGGATATATTGGCTGTATATGTAGCATTGCTGTAAACAGGGGACCAGAGTGTAATGTACAGAGAGAGACCGGTGTGTACATATATTTATAAATTCCTTATGACAAATCCCGTCTTGTATATCATTGTGACAGATTCGTATACACATGCTGAGCCTCCTATAACAAATCCCCCAGGTCACTTCATTCCAAGACTATGAGGGGGGTGTTATCTTATAGGGCAGGTATAGCCAAAAACATTTTGGGTTTTAGATACAGCAAGAAAGGGTTCTTCTCAGTCTGTAACCCCTCTGGGGTGGATTTACCCCATGTGTCCTGATGTCTAGACTTCTAATGAGGCAGTCTGAGCCTGTTGCCTCAGGAGGCATCTCTGTGGGCCATGTGGGGGGGCCGGATCAATGTTTTCAGTGCACCCGCAGTCCCCTTTCTGGCCAGAGCGTCCCAGTTTGCCAAAGACAGGGCTGGGAGATGTGTAAAAGACCCCACCCAGCTCTTGGCAACCTCAGACGCTGTTGCTGGCATCCCGCTGGAGGTCCAGGCAACCAGCGACGTCACGGCCCAGGAGCCAGGTGGGACACCAGCCAAAGCCAGAGCTAGGCAGGGAGATGATGTAGAGTCATCCCCACCCCCACCCCCCGCTAGCGTGCACCAGCGACACCACCTGCTCCTCCCTCCCACCCAGCTCTACGCAATTCCCGATGAGGTCCTGGCAACCAGCGACGTCAAGGCCCAGGAGCCAGGTGGGAAACCAGCCAAAGCCAGAGCTGGGCAGAGAGATAATGTAGAGGCATTCCCCCCCCGCTACTGTGCATCAGCGACACCACCTGCCCTCCCTCCAAGCCTAGGGATGCCCCTGCCGGTGACCAGCATCACTGAGACAGAAGCTGATGGGAAACCCAATCTATATCTATTTAAACTAGTGCAAGAACCTGCCTTTGACCTGGAATGAGCCTCTTGCATTCACTGTACAGCAGGGCTGGAGTGTTATGGGGAAGATGCAAAAAGCACCGGGACAAAGAGTTATCCGGGACAAAGAGTTATCCTTCCCATAAGGGACAATGAAAATAAAGACCTAGCAGAGGGTCTAACCCTTCA